AGGCATTTTTAATGTGTTTTCTCTCAGGACGAGTTTGCTTCCAAGAATGATTGAGGCCAAGTATCTGGACATCCTGGATTCACAATACATGTAGAACTTTAAAGCAATTTCACGACAAGATTCAGTTTCTCCAGGAATTAATTATCTGATGAAATAAAATTATTTGGACTGCAAGATTTCGCTATCATTCATAACCATCATTTTCTTTTTTATTGTTCAGTGCAAATGTAACTTAAATGTAGCTTTACTATGGAAAATCACTGCATATTTGTTGTATGTAACCCTTTAACTTTAACAGGTTTTCATGCACAGATGAGTGTTTCGACTTGACAATGAGTGTAAACCCTTTAGAATTAACTGGAATTTCACTTTCAGTTTTTATCTTAAATCACAGTGGTATTGTAGAATAAAATCATATAGAATAGTTTTGTTAAGGGGGTAATTTTTCACAATTATAGAGACAAGGAGGAATCATTATACAATAGGTAACTTTTAGTAGTGCATAATGTCTGGGTATTTTAGTGGAAAAGGAAACCATACATTTAAAATGTTAAACTGCTCAACTTTTATTGTTGAAAAACTGCAGTGCACTTTCCACTACTTTTAATTAGACAAAACAAAAACAAAACAGCAAAAAACTGCAGAAGCATCAGACTGGAAGACTAGAGAAGCTTCCACCTCCTCCTCAAATGAAAAATCAGGAAAAAAGAAAAGAAAGAACAAAAAGAAAGCAAAGAACTGAACTACAAATAAAAACATATGAATTAAATTATTCACAGGTAATAAGAATAGTTTATTGTTACTTCTGTTGTGTTCAGTTTTGGGTTTGCATATAAATAATAAAAACACATAATTCTATTGGACTCTCTGGTCATTCACATTGATTATTTTGTTTGTACTTTACTTAAAGTCCTTTTAAATGTTTGTGTAAGGAAAAAAAAGTTTGGCTTGGCTCCATGATTGTGGACCTTTGGTGGACCTTCGCCCTGCAGTGTTTACTGTGTTTTTTCCCTTGTAACTAGAAAAGAGTAGTTCTTATCACATTTTTATGTCAAACATAAAAGAACAATTGAAACTTACAACATCTGCGATGCGAACCAATATAGTGCACAATAAATGTGTAAAAAAAACAAGGTTAGCTACATAATGTGGCCCATGCTACTAAGGCTAACGCATATTTACAATATAAAATGAGGAAATTTTAACTGTTATTTCCACAGAAATACCTGGAAATTGCAGACTAATTCAAACTAATTACATTATAATTTATGCCTCTTTTCTGTAAACCATCTGGCAGTTATGCACTACTTACAATTAATTACATACTACTAAAGATTATTTTTGAACTGCTTAAACACAACTTATAATTATTTATCTTTTTTTTTCCTGTAAAGTTACACGCTGCTAAATACTTAAAATTACTTACAGTGTAGTTTT